CTAACTCCCATCTTCAGCTGCCGATGAATCCACTGGGAGCATGGAAAAGAAGATGAAAAATATTGGTTCAGAGAATACCGAAGAGCAACGTCGAAAGTACAGACAAGTGGGAAGCCTATCCATATAGTCAGCGATCACGAATACGCCAAACCCTTGTATTGCAGCTTCTGTTCACTGGGAATCCAGATCTCGGGAAGTACATATCTGGTGTGATCATGTTCCACGAGACGTTTTATCAAAAATGTGATGACGGGACGCGATTCGTCGATGCGCTGAAGAAACAGGGCATCATACCGGGAATTAAGGTTGGTTTGTGCTCAGACTGAAACTGAGAGAAGCTTCAGTTCACTGAGCATAAGAAACGGACACTCGTAGATGCACCAGGAAAGGCCCATCGATTGGAGATGCTAAGTGATAGTGATATCGGCTGTAAAGTTGCATTCGTTGTAGGAAACCTTCAAAACAGTTAACAGTAGGATCAATAGCATAATGGTTCTTACGATCGTACTTATGTGCTGATCGTGTGATGCTGCCCTTGTCGAAAGAGATCGGTTTGTTTTTCAAAACACTGAATAATTGGTGTTTATATGAGCGTTTGACTGCAGATTCATCACTCCTGTCACTTCAGCAGTAGCACGTTCACATCGACAAAAGACAAACGACTTGGGATCGTGCATTGAATTATGGCAAGGGAATCTGTTCACAGCTGACAAAAGCTGAAAGAGTGCTAGAGAGGAACTTTACCGACCCATAGTCCCATAGTCTCCCTAGGAGCATTCAAATCCATAGGGATGGGATGATGAAGGAGGAATGAAGTTGGATTACAAGTCCATCTGTTCGATTCCACAAAAATGACAGACATGGTCTTCTCTCGAACGGACAGGCTCTACCGGCAGAATCCCATCTACCATTAAACAAGTGCGCGAATTAGTTGGGAACGGTGAAAGGCGTCTGCGCGGCAATTTACCCGAGTTTATGCCTAATTCTCCTAACCCTAACTATAAACACTACTGGATGAGCGCGTAGTGCTGCCAGTACAGATCTAGGAGTTTCCGACGATCGCAAACACAGAGTGGAACTCGGGGCTCCAAACTTGAAACATTGATCGGAGGCTGGACGCTGTTTTGTTTGTGATGGAGCCTGAGGTCAGTTGTCACACTGTGCTGTGTGGAGTTTTTTGAAAAACAGTTGGTTTCAAGCGTCTCACTATTGGATTCCTTTTGACGTCAAACGAACACTACCAACATCCCGCTAACGTGGAACGTGCCTTCGAGACTAATAGATCCGCACTGACATTGATTTTTAGCCGAAGAAATTCGCAGTAATCAAGCATATGGCCCATGATAAATGTGCCAACGTGCGCGCAAAATAGACTAGCAATAATCTTTGGTTTTTGTTGGCGGAGGACAGGGGAGTAATCGAAGGGAATGCGGAAGGTAGTATCTCTATCATAAGATCGCATGATAACTAATGGTGAAGTGAGGAGAGGGCTATCGTCTTGCCCATACATTTACGTGCCAATCTCAAAAATGTCTTGTGTCAGTTGAAAGGAAAAAAGTTCGACAAATGGCATCTTTCTTCGCAACATCGACGTCGTGCTTGTAACAATGACTACGGAGTTAAAGCAGCTAGTGCTGGTCAAATGGGACTAACGATCTGCAACTAAATCCAACGGAAATGTCCGTGGATCACGGACCTATTTCCACTGCTCCTTCTTTTTCTTTCTCCTAAAAGCCGGAAGGGATCGGGAGTTCCAAATTCTGTAACTGCAAAGATCAGGAACATGATTGCAACAGCACGAATTGAAGATCGCATGGGCTGGAAATGAACGCCAGCACAGTTACCGCCTCAACGGCAAGGCATCTTCATGAAAGTTTCAATCTGAGGAATGCTATTCTTTAGGCACTTCGAGTGAGATTGCTTCACCGAATCATACAGACTCGCGAAAGGATTTTGTTTTACGTGGAGTCCAAACAGAGCATACTGTCCAACATGGAGATTATCCTTTAGCACAAATCATACTGCTTTGTCAAATAGGTTTATTACAGTGGAACTGCTTTATTTGATCGAAATACAAGCTCATCGTCGACGTCAAGGACCTGAAAATAATTTGATGCTTCCAATCTACGGCTTACTTATTCGAGCACCATACGCACTCAGAGGGATGCAATATCTCTCTCAGAAACTAGGGCGCAGAAGACGCTAGATAGATAGGTGAACAACCTCCAGCGGTCCCACCAGCAGTGATGTTCTGCTCGGATAATCGAACAATAGTTAAGGAATGAGAGACCGTTGACGGTGGTAGGCAAGAAATATGTCGCGAACTCATCACCCATGACAAGGAATGGATGTAGGAGTCCATCTGTAATTGCCAGACAACCATTTAGTTGTTCTGCTCAAAAGAGGTGTGATTCTATCGTCAAGATCAAATTGCCCGTCATTCAAGCTGAACAACCGAAAAGATGCATGACCGTTACATGATATCACACAGCACACATGGCGCCTAGCTCAAGTGACGCGAAATATCAATATATTATAACTATTCGGAACAATTGAGCACACTCCGACTTTATCACACAACCTATGCGTTGGAGAATAAGGGCCAAGATCTGAAGTTGGAAACGTAGGAGGCATGCGTGGAGAAGCTGAGTAGGTTTGCGCACAAACAAAACAAAATTCAAAAAATCCCTTAAAGTCTCACAAA